ATGTCAAAAAAAGGGGGGGGGGGGGGGGTTTCACTCTTTAATATTCTCTTCCATCTTTTGTTTCACGAACCTTAAAACTATAATTAATTATCAAATTTTTTAGATTAAAAAGAATATCATTATTTTCTCAACATTCTCCTTTTTTTTTTTTTAAATTTTTTCTCTCTATTTAGTAAGTAGGAGGCTCCACGAAGAAGACTATTAAGGCTGCTAAGCTCAAAGTGGAAGGTACATTTGAGAAGGTGAGTTATCCTCAATCACCGATGCAGATGTTGAACCTAAATCACCGTGTGGATTTCGAAACAAGGTTGTCAACTAAGAAGAAAATCAAGGAAGCTCTAAAGGACAAAGATATTAGCATAATTGGGATCTGTGGCATGCCTGGAGTTGGTAAGACAACAATGGCAAAGGAAATAGTCAATGAAGTCAAAGATGAGAAATTATTTAAGGAGGTTGCATTTGCAGTTGTATCTAACGATCCAGACATAAGCAAAATTCAAGATCAACTTGGTGAAGCACTTGGTCTAAAAATTGAAGAAAAGACAAATACTGTGAGAGCCGGACGGCTTTGTCAAAGAGTTGAAGGTAACGATGGCAAGAGCATTCTTGTAACATTAGATGATGTGTGGAATGAAATTGATTTGGGAACTATAGGAGTTCCATCTCCACATGATCACAAAGGGTTGAAAATTATGTTTACGACACGAATTGAAGAAACGTGTAGTAAAATGAAAGCCCAAAGGAAATTCGAAATCGAAGTTTTGGACGAAAAAGAAGGATGGCAACTTTTCAAGGATATGTCGGGGATTTCTGATGATGAAACTGATGATGAACTCGTAAGTATGGCCCAAAAAGTTGCAGACGAATGTCGAGGTCTACCTCTTGCCCTTGTGGTTGTTGGCAAAGCACTAGAAAGCAACAAGGCCACGTATAAATGGAGTGATGCACTTCTACAGCTACAGTCTCGTGCTACCAATCTTGATGGAATGGATGATATCGTGTACAAAAGTATAAGATTGAGCTTCAACTTTTTGGTAAGCAATGAAGAGCGGGACTTGCTTTCGCTTTGTTCTCTATTCGCTGAAGATGAAAATATTCCAATTGAAAATTTGGTTCAATATGCAAGGGGGCTAGAGTTATTTCAAAATACTGAAACACTCTCCCAAACTCGAGATCGAGCAAAAATAATTACCGATAATCTAAAAGGTTGTTATTTATTGCAATCGGGTAGGGAGGAAGATGAGGTAAAATTGCATGATGTTATCAGAGATTTTTGCTTAAAGATGGCAACTAAAGACAAATGTGGGTACCTGGTAAACCATGCTGGTTTGGAAGAGTGGCCAGAACACGATACTGATAACTTGTGCAGTGCCATCTCAATTACGTTTAATAAGTTGGATCAGCTTCACAGTGGGTTGAAACATCGAAACGTTAAGTTGTTGCGAATGATATGTCGCAAGTTGGGAATTTGTAACAGTTTCGGAGAATTTTTCGAAGATACAAAAGAACTCAGAGTTCTTGAATTGAAATTGATGAACATCCAGATTCCATCATCGATTCAATTGTTAACAGGTCTCCGAACTTTATGCTTGATTAACTGTGTAATACATTCTCAATTGTCAATGATTGGGAGTCTAAAGAAGTTAGAAATTCTCTCTTTCTATTGTTCTTATTTCAGTGATTATTGTCCCATTGAATTAGCGAATCTTAGCAACCTAAGGTCACTTGATTTGAGGTTTCTTGAGTTATCATGTCCACTTCGACCTGGAATTTTGTCGAGCATTAAGAAACTTGAAGAGCTATATTTGGGAGATAGCATTCCAATAGAAGGTGAAGACCAAAGGTACATAATTGAAGAGTTAAGTTCATTGACTTTTCTTCATACTTTCCAAATTTCCACACTTACTCCAATTCTGATGCAACTATTAAAAGCGTCGTTCCTCGATAATCTAGAAAAATTTCAAATCCTCGTAGGCAAAACACAACGAGGCAGATTTGAAAATTTTCTAGATTTCCTCGTAGACAAAACACAACAAGGAAGATTTGGACATCGATATATCACAAGGAGCTTGCATCTCGAAGACGGTATTGATGCAAGTATGCTTTTGCAACCCTCATTGAACACGTTGATGAAGAGGACTTATCATCTTCGTATTGAAGCAAACAAGGTATTGAAGAATGTTGTGAGTGAGTTAGATGGAAATGGTTTCATTAACTTGAAGACACTGATCCTATCAAATGGTGATTTTGAGTATCTTATTGATGCCACCAACGCTATTCCAAATGCCACCTTTGGTAAATTGGAGTCTCTCAAATTGGAAGATTTACCCAAGTTAATAGAAATATGTAATGGAAATCTTCCAAGGGTTGTCTTCAAACCTCCATTGTTCTGTAACCTTATGACGATTCAGATGTATGTTTGTGAAGCAATTACAAGCTTATTTCGGGAGTCAGTTGCAAAATGCCTAGTAAATCTCCAACGTCTAGACATAGCAATTTGTTCAAGGTTAGAGGAAGTTGTTTCAACGGACACACAAGGAAATGAAGTGACCAAAACTTGCGAAATGATTGAGTTTCCAAAGCTGAAAATTGTCGACCTGACTAATTTGGGAAGATTTAAGAGCTTCACATGTCAATCAAATAGCGGTGATGTTTGTCGAACATTGTTCAACAAGGTATGATATTCAACTTTCCTTTTATGTGCATCCAAGAGTCCTTGTTATAAAATTTTGGAATTCAGATATATTCAAAAATGTGTTCCAAATGAGCAAATCATAAACAGTGGAGCGAAAAGATTAGAATGGTCATTTAGTAAAAATCAATGAAATTTTATGATTACAACTATTATTAATCAGAATGAGCCCTCTAACAAAACCTAAGCCCCTGTTTGGTTTAGATAAAAAATATATGCCCATGTTTCATAGATATTAAAATCAAAATTTTAGTAGCTTTTTATAAAAGTTAATGAAATATGTTGGTTAAAAATTAGATTTTTTTCTTTCGACCATATTTCGATTGTTAATACGATATATAAGGATCGCTACTACAAAGAGTATTACACCCTTGATCGTGAAATATCGATTGCTTGTTGACCCCTGTGAATTGCGTGAAAGTAGGATACTCCTAAGAAATATGTGGTAAAATTAATTTTTTATTTTGACTTGAATTTTAATAAGATTTTTAGCAGTACCAAACATGAGCATATTTGAGTAATTTTTTTTTTTTTTTAATAAAAAGTCAATAAAATGTGTAGTTGATAAGTTGTGGGTCTCATGGAATATGTGATTAAAATTAATTACTAAATTTGACTTAAATTTTAATAAATCAAACATGGGCTATTTTAGGAGAAACAATACGGTTATAGCACCTCATGCACAAAATTAACTTATAGATTGTGTTTATTTAAAGTTAATATTTATAGCTTCTCATGATTCCAATCAAACACATACAAATTACAAAAACATATTGCAAAACTGTGGTCTTAATTTCGAATTGAGATTTTCCAATCATTAACCATATAAACTTAGAAATGAAAAGACTCACATAAATTTTGGAGCCAAACTTTCGAGATAAAATTAGGTAATAAAGAAAGGAGAACTTTAGTCAATTTAAATTTATTGTATTGGGTTAGATGATTTAGTCAACAGCACAATGAATGTGTTATGTAATACAAATGAATAGATAGATACAATTTCTATATAATGACACAACTTTCCGCAATTCATTTATATAGCATAATGGATAATTTTTTGCTGACTACAATTAATTGAATTTTGCAGGTTATGTTACCTAACATGGATTTCTTGTTTGTTAATCACTTGGATTGTATAGTAAAGCTACTGGGCAAGGAAATGCCAACAACATCTCTGCATAAACTATCAAACATGAGAGTGTCAGATTGTGTTGAATTGCTGACCATTGCAGAATCTAATTCAATTCAATTACTGCAAAATCTTGAACACCTTCAAATGGTAGCTTGTAATGCACTTGAAGTATTGTTCGACTTTGAGGGCATAAAAGTCACTAATGATGAAGCAGAAATTAATATGCTTGGTCGATTAGAAACATTGGAGTTGCTTTCACTACCAAAATTGGTACATATTTCAAGGATGGTTCCAAAAGGAATTTGTGTCTTTCAAAATTTGAGAGATCTTAGTGTTACCGACTGTAATAGCTTAAGATGCTTATTTTCACCTTCTATAGTCAACTCACTTGCAGCCCTAGAAAATTTATTCATTGAAAGTTGCGAAGCATTGGAAGAAATCATTGGAAGAGAAGAAGAAGAAGAAGAAGAAAACACTTCAGAGACAAGAAACATTGTTATCAAACATCCATCGAACCTCCGTCACTTAAGACAAGTTGTTTCAATGGATGCAAAACGAAATGAAGTTATCAATATGCTTGAGTTCCCAAAACTGAACAAAATCTGGCTTTGCAATTTAAGCAGTTTTAAGAGCTTTAGATTTGAATCGAACAATGATGGCATTCTTCGAACTTTGTTCAACCAGGTATGTATTTTTCCTTTTTTCCGTGTGCATCTAACCATATTTGTTTCCAAGTACATGTTTGCAAATCATAGAATAGGACAAATTATGAAAATTTCTCCAATTCTTTCATAACGAACAATTTATTAACATTAGAACAAAAATATTAGATTGTCGCTTAGTAATTGATTACAATTGACTCTTAACAAACACTAGTGTGGAAAATATTAATTTTTATATAGAGATAAAGAATTATGATGACAGTGCCGTGACTTACACCATTATCTGAATTTCACAGGTTACATTGCCTAACATGAAGGAGTTGGTCATTAATGGATTGCAGTATATAGTAATGTTAGTGAATACAGAAGAAATGCCAATAAGATCTCTTTATCATGTAAGAGAGATGAGGGTAAATGATTGCCATAATCTACTGACAATTGCACAACTTGATTCAAGTAAATCATTACAAAATCTTGAAATGCTTAAAGTAGAAGATTGTAAAGCACTGGAAGTGCTGTTTTGACTTTAAATGTCTAAAGGTTACAAAAGATCATGCTGAAAGTGTACTTAGTCGATTGAGATCACTACAGCTAAAATCTCTAGACAAATTAGCGGACATTATAGGGATAGTTCCTAGTGGAATTCATGTCTTTGAGAATTTGACATCAATTCTTGTGGAAAGATGTGGTTTCTTAAAGAACCTATTCTCACCTTCAATGGCCAATTCTCTTGTGGCTCTGAACATTCTAGAGGTTTCAGATTGTGGATCAATTGAAGAGATTATTGGAAAAGAAGAAGGCACTTCAGAGATCAAAAGAGTTGAAGGAATGAAAACTATAATTGTGTTTCCTAAGTTGGACTGTCTACTACTCAAGAATCTTTCAAGTATTCAAATGTTTTGCTCTCGGAACTATGAACTTGTGTTCCCTTTATTGAAGGATTTGACCATTGAAAATTGCCCTATGATGAAAAAACTGAGTCCATGGCCAGTACGTGCACCAAAGCTTAATATTTCCAGTTTGTTGGATAATGCAGGTATGTATGTGTTCTCGATTTCTATTTTACATCTTCTACTCTAATGCTATAATTGCTTTTACATTATTTATTTATTAATATTATTTGTTTCTCAGTCGGCTTGGCAGAGGAGGATCAAGTTTGTAACAAATAAAAATTACTTGAGAAATTTGAAGTCTCCTATTTCCTAGGCATAAAATATGATGAAATCATTTCTTATCTATAGAATATCTATTTGAATTCTACAGATTAAATTATTAAAGCTCGTGTAATGAGTAATCTTACTTTTATTTGAAATGCTCACAATATATTAAAGAGTTATTTAATTTCAAACTTTTGGATATTTTTTATGTTCAATAATTGATTATGCATGGAATCTTCATCAAATATTAATGTATTCCCTCGTATAATAGCCATAAAATATTATTGGCATGTTTAGCATGTTCCCTGCCCTCATTTACATCCCATCTCCCTTTTTCTTTGTGTTCCATTCCATGGTTTAGAGCATCTCCTAGAGGCTATATTTTTTAAGTGCATCTTAATTATAATAGAGATCATCTTTATATTTACAGAGTAAATTTTTTTACGCTACAACACAAACTCCTTTTTTCTCTTTATTTTACTTTTTTCAATAAACTCTAAGATTTAAGATCGATCTCATCTAGGTGAGAAAGAAAACGGATGTGTTCTTTATACCTCTCTATAACAAAATGGGCATCGATAATGTGTAAAGTCAAGAGAAAACAAATGAGCAAAAGTTATCCTGTATATGGAGTAACAATATTCCATTTCTTCTCTTTTTTCAAGGATTTCAAAATCACATGTTAAAATGGAGTGACTATTTTATGTATGTAAGACCCGAACATAATTAAAATTTATTTAGATCTATTTACTTGAAATTCAAATACTTAGATGACTGTTCATTATGTGAGATTCACTATTGGAATCTGGAAATATGCCTACCACTACAAAGTGAAAGTAAAAATAGATGATGAGCAAATAAAAATGATAACCATTTAACCTTGAACAAAGCGATCAAGAACCTCTCTTATATGCTAATACTTTTATATTCTTCTTTAGAATGATCGAGTTTATTCAATTCAAAAGAATTATAAGTCAAAAATAACTGTTTTATGTACAAGAAATTTATGGAATTTTCTTGAATTAAATATTTTCTTGAAGATGTAGTATTGCAAATAAAGCATAAGCTTGTCCCAATACCCAATTATGATTCTTCTTCTTCTTCTTCTTCTTCTTCTTCTTCTTCTTATTATTATTATTATTATTATTATTATTATTATTATTATTATTATTATTATTATTATTCAAGTAATTTGGCTTACTTTGATATGGTTGGTGTTTTGCAAATCTTATGTAACTACGGTATTCCTTCGCCACAAGTAAAGGTTCATCAATAAAAGTCATTTAGTTTTAAAAAAAAAATTATTATTATTCAATGTTAATTTTTGTTCTATAGGTTTCACTGCTGCTTTTGATTTTTATTTTATTTTATATATATATATACACACACACACATACCTCATTGACTTTCAAAATAATTTAGTTCTATTTCTCGAATGTGAGAGTTGATTCTCGGACAAATCGAACAGTGATTGAGTGTCATAGGTATAATATTCCTCATCACAAGAAATCGTTTGTGTTGAATAGATCATGATTGATGCTAAAGAGATTGCTACACTTACAAAACAAAAATTATAGTTAGGGGCCTCATTATATTGTGTAGCCTTGGGCCTCAAAGTTATAAGGGTCGGCTCTATTTTGAACTCTTGATGGTAATTTTTGTTGCAGGCTAAAATGAAGTAGAATTATGTTTGTCGAAAGCATGACTGGGCTGATGAAATTGTTGATCTTGTAGCAATTCAATGTAGCAATTGAATGAAGATAAGATGAACTTTGTGAAAATCTGTGATTTGAGATTTTATCTTAGCTTTTTAGTTCACAAGTTAAACTCTTAGAATCTGAAATTTCAATTTTATATTGAGAAAAAGAATTATTACGAAGAAGACTCTTACCATCAAATTCAAGGTCAATGCTTGTATCATCCTTTCGTTTAATTAAAACACCATCAAAATTTAGGACCACGACCTAGACCTAGACCCAATGTGGGTCCCGGGGGTTGGGTTGGGTTGAGGGGGATGGGTTGGGGATGGGGGTAGGGATAGGGGTGTTAGGAATACATATATTATGATTGGACCTTGGGAGGAGGAGAGGTAAGAAAATTACAAACTTGATAGCGGGAATCCTGAGATGCACGGAAAATTACCAACTTGACAGAATGAATCTTTATATTTGGACATGCTCTGCTGATTTTTGTCCACCCTGTAGACTTACTAATCCATTGTTATTGATCCATTCATGCCATAGACTCCTGATTTCTTTTTTAACATATTAGCGCAGGTGTTCGGTCAATTACGAAAGACACTGAACTAAGACTCGAGTAGAGAAAGAGAACTAGGCCACTGGGAGGGCCAGTATGAAGTCACCATCGATTAGAATATAGCATTACAACGCATGTTGATAAGAAAAAAATAAAGTAGAATGATAGGTAGTAAACTTCAAGGTAGTTGACTAGCTTTCTGTTTCTGAACTTTTATTACTGGCCTCGACATTTTGTGTTGTTTTTTGTATTCCATATTGTTTCTAATGATTTTTATAGTGTGTTTTACCGAAACTACATCGACAAAGTGAAGATTAGAGAATAAAACGAGTAAATTACTCGTGTATCCCAAAGTCTCTTACCATTCTACGAGTGAAGTGAAAGCAATCATAATTTCTAAATAAATAAGAAGTTTTATCATTCCTTGCTTGTCTTTTTCGTAACTTGATACTTGATTTAACATTTTTAAATAGACATTTATATGTAGGTCACTCTCATCATATTTGGCACTTTCAGGGCTCTTTTCTTTGAAACTTAACAAAGACATAATCACATTGTAAAAATTGTTCTTTAAGTTGAACATACCATCAAACGTTGCCCAATTCACGAACTATTCTCAAATGAGCATATGTCAAACAACACATTCGTAAAGAAAATAAGTATAAAAGAAAAAATTGGAGGAAAAAAAGGAAAAAGAAAAACAACCATTTCATCTTGACGAACTCCCACCACCTCCCCGTCTCCTATCCATCGAACCCCGATAATTCACACCCTTCAAAAAAAATATTATAGTTAAAATAAGTGTTTTATCAACAACTCCATCAAGGCTTAAAAGCTTGGATTTCAATCTCGAGGAATCTCTAGAAACACCATAAATTTCTAAAGCATCGATAAGAGTGTCGATATTGTACCATCAAATAGAAAGAAAGCTATATGGTAGCTGTCTAAAATAGCTTGATCTTAAATTCAGATAGAGAAAAAATATATATTCTTAATACTGTCAATAATTCCAAACTCCATCTGAACTTTATTATCGAAATTGGTTCACCATTGAAGTATTTTTCATTCTAATAGAAAAATGACATCTGTGGCTACTCTTAAATAAATGCAATATTTTTAAACAATATTGAAAGTATAAGGTAAGATAAAAGACAAGGTCACCGAGTTTTATACCTTCTTGATGACATGGACATCAGCGACTTACTAACCACTGAAATTTATGGTACACAAATGCATATCAACAGCTAGATTCTCCTTTCTGATCAACGGGGAGAAAGTTGGTTTGATTACTTGTTCACACGGATGCCAGGAGAAAATCGGGTTGATTGCTCGTTCACACAGATGCCCTTTATCACCATATTTAGCCATTCTTTTAGAATAGTTTTTTTCCCCCCTAAACTCAATTTTAACCATACTTGAAAAGCATTCATGAACAGCTCCCTGTTACTCTATGGTTCTGCCGGAAAGATGGAAACACGGGTATTTTCATGTAATTCTCGACTGCCTAATATGATCCTATCAGAAACCATGGTCTATCTCACGAAGGATTACAAAAGGTGAGTAGGATGACAACATCGATATTGCCTAATGCAGAGAGAATCTGGGCATTACCACCAGTAGATCGTCCGAAACTCAATGTTGATGCTACTGTGGTTACAGTTTGATGACTAAGAACTGACTCGCACGGTGAAAATGAAAAATGGAAGCCGAAATATTCGACCGAGCAGAATAGGTTATATTACACCTTTTTCCAATCCTCATAATTTAGTGAAATCTGAAGCTTCTAAGTCTAAGAAATCATTGAAAAAGTCACTCAAAACATTCGACAACATATACTGTATTTTAAGGTCGACGAACATGCATGTCCTCTTGCACTGATTTCCATGCATATTCAATTGGATTATCAAAGATCCAATTGGATTATCAAAGATCCGAACCATGCCAAGTATTTAACAAGTTAGCATTATCCTTGTCTCTTTCTGTTGGGGAAATTTATACCGATTACGTGCATATTATATTCACAAAAGCATATCGGTTATTTGCGTGAAATTGAAACGTAATTTCGACTTACCGAAATAGGATTTGAGAAGCAAAACATAAAAGTTACCGAATCTGAATGCATTAATATGTATTCATCCCTTTCGATTCTTGAACGAAAATAAATTATTCTTTTGATTGAACCTTGCAACATAAACATGTAAACAATGTTAATCATTTCCCGAAATCAAAATATAATCAAAAGAAGTCAAAAAATTGTAGGAGGAAAGATGCAAGTAATGAATTTTTGGTCGAAACAAGTGTTTGACACTTGGTCCTTAAGATGAATTTGCCCCGCATCGGTGCTAACGGTTTTTCGACAATCATCTCCCAAGATACAACGACCACGTCAAGCCATAGGAGCACTCCAAATGACTTCTGTTCACGAAATAATTCTTTCGATTTAAAACTACCGCAAGTGTACGGTTCGTAACGAGTAATAAAGTGGATTTTTATAAGTCCGAATATCGTCCCTCAGAGATTGAGTAGTTCAATTCTATTTAATCTAGTCTTAACCGAATCTAATTGAGTGAAAATGTGATCTAAGTGCAAAAGGCCCCAATTTCAATTAAAACCCCTAATTTCAACTAAAACCCCTAATTTCTCAATTAGAAACCCTAATTTCGAAATTTCTCTAATTAAACGACTTAAACACTCAAGTAAATGAAATTAAGCAAGTTTAAAAGCTAATTTATTAAAATGAATCAAATTAAAGTCACTAGGATCACGAATCCCCAATTGAAGTTATAAAAACCCTAATTTCATAAAATTAATGATTCGATGAAAATTTGCCAATTCAATGTTCCTATTCTATCCAATATACTCTCTCGATATATATT